CGATCTCTTGACCTCGTGATCCGCCCGCCTCGGCCTCCCAAAGTGCTGGGATTACAGGCGTGAGCCACCGCGCCCGGCTATTCTTGTATTTTCTTGTCCTAACCTTCTATGCTGTGGCTCTAGCACTACTGCTTTCAGAGGACAAAACTAGAGTAGAAGGGTAACTCTATATTCTCCACTGAAGTTCAGTGATCAGAATAACAGAGTTTCTTGAAGTGGGGGAAAAGATTTACCTTTATCATTGTGTTAACAATGAGGAAAAGTCCTTAAGCTTAGAAGAGTAAGGTATGGCCAGGCACTATGGCTCATGGCTGTAATCCCAGCACTTTAGGAGGCTGAGGCAGGAGGATTGCTTGAGGCCAGGAATTTGGCACAATATAGCCAGACCCCATCTCAAAACAAAACAAATAAAAGAAGAAAAAGAGGAAGGTGAAGGTGCAATAATGGAGCTTCTTAACGAGATTTATGCATAATCATATCTGAAGCTCAATAAATTAAACAGCTTTTAAATAAAAGACACAGCAGACTATCGCTAAAGACAGAAGAAAATTACTTAACCACTAAGATAATAATTTGCCTAGGCTCAGCTTTCAGCTGGCTTATTCAATAAAAGCATAGAAGAAATACAGTGCAAGAGGGATTCAACTGGGAAGGGAGACTTGAAATGCATTTCAAAAAAAAATGTGTTTCACTAATTGAAAGAGCAGAAGAAGGAAGTTTTTCAGTGCAGAAAATAAGTGTAACTCTCCCTCTCAGCTCCTCAAAATCTGTTTTCAGGACTGTATCATTCAGAGATATCTCAAAATTGTACCCACACCCCTAGGGTCCTTGGCCTGCCTGTGACCCTTGCCTAAACTTTGGCTGGAACAGAGATGTTGTGCTCTCAAGGCCAAAAACTGTACTAGCCAAGAACACAAGTACTAAATGTTTCATCATCACCCTCTATTAGTCTGTCTAGGATTGTGACGCTGCTTCTCCCATGACTCCATGTACTAGTATGTAGCAACAGGGCACACACCCCTTACTTAATACCCAGGGTAATTAAGTACCCCTGGATACCTAAGCACAAAGTCAGGAGAGGAGCAGAGTTGCATACCATGCACAGCTGTGAGATTAGCAGAGATGAAAGTAGTACATATCAGAGCTGAAATTAGATCTCACACTGTCCTTTGCTTATGCACCTATTTCAGTATTTATGACAGTGGTCTGTCCGATGCCTATCTCCCTGCAGGGACCATGATTTAATCAACTTTGGATCCTTTGTCAGCCCTACATGTTGCAGATGTTCAATAACTATGAGAGTCAATTTCTAATTTCACAGGCTAAAAGGAATGGTAGACACTCTGCATTAAATATGACAAATTTTACAGGTATCAGCCTTATTCTAAAATATTATGATTTATATTTTCTCCTCCTGTTCACTTCCATTCTTTCCTGGAGACATCTTAGAAAAGACAAACATCAAAAACACAAAAAGCAGACATTTGACAAAAATTATAATAAAAATAGTAATCAAACAGGTGTAAATATTCAAAAAGTTCTCATTTCCATATAGGCTAAAAAAAAAAAGAAAAAAACAACTAAACCCATGCTACTGGATACTCTCACCTAGTGATTTTTTTTTAATCCCATCACCTACCAAATTGAAACACTTTGTGGCCGGGCATGGTGACTTATGCCTGTAATCCCAGCACTTTGGGAGGCTGAGGAGGGCAAATCACAAGGTCAGGAGTTCCAGACCAGCCTGGCCAACGTGGCGAAACCCCCTCTCTATTAAAAATACAAAAATTAGCCAGGCATGGTGGCACACACCTGTCATCCCAACTATTCAGGAGGCTGAGGAAGAATCGCTTGAACCCAGGAGGTGGAGACTGCAGTAAGCCGAGACTCCATCTCAAAAAACGAAAATAAAGAAAATCATAATCCAATTATACAAAAATGCTCAAATGTTTTCAGTCTAATATTTTATTTCCAAAACTCATTATACAATACAATTTCTACAATTCCTTTTAGAAAAGCTTCCAGAAGATAAATTCCTTCTAATGAAGTGTTTGATAGTTTGACTTTTTTTTTTAATAGGGTCTCACTGTGTTGCCCAGGCCAGAATGCAGTGGCATGATCATGGCTCACTGCAGTCTCAACTTCCAGGGCTCAAGGGATCCTCCCACCTCAGCCCCACCTCAAGTAGCTGGGACTATAGGTGTACACCACCATGTCCAGGTAATTTTTGTATTTTCTGTAGAGACGGGATTTCGTGATGCTGACCAAGCTGGTCTTGAACTCCTGAGCCCAAGCAATCTTCCTGCCTCAGCCACCCAAAGTGCTGGGATTACAGGCATGAGCCACTGCACCTAGTCAAGCATGTTTCTTTATTGCAGGACTTTTCTGAGCCTTTATTAGTATGCAATAGTACTCTCCAAAAGGAAAGTATAGTCGGTGATGATACGTAAACTTATTTTGCAAGAAAATTATTTTTCATTTTATGTATTACCAAGTAGCCTTCAGCAGAAAAGAGTATTTTGAGGAACATACATTGAAAGTCACATGTAAACCTACCCAATTTGAATATGGTAACAATCATTATGAAAAGGAAGACTCACCAACAGAAGCAGAGTTTTTAAGAGTTGACTCCTTTGGGGCTCCTTTTTCAATTCGTATCGTGGCCCACTGTTGAAAAACAAGAAATATTAATTTAAACTGTCCCACAAACACAACATAAAGTACTTCAACCATAATTACACAGAAGTGAAATTACACATTAAGCTCTGGCAGTATCTGAACTAAAGAGGTATCCCAGTGAATCTCTGATGTAGCAGTGTTCCAAGTCCCAAGTATACTTTTCTATCAGTTACTGATAATGCCCTAATAAAATGTGGAAAGGACAATATTTACCCTTTCTCAACTACCTCACAAACATCAGTCTCTTAATAAATTACTCTTTTAAAAGGCTGTGAAACATGGGGGGCATGAGTACAGGTCATGGCATCAAGAACATCTGGGTTTGAAATTACTTCTCTATAGGCCTTCATTTCCTCACTGTAAAATCAGGATAATAGATCCTAACCCATAGAGTTGCTGTCACATTAAACGAGATGACCATGTAAGGGCCTAACTGTAGGACATAAAGTGTAATGATTATTTTCACAACAAATTAGACATTCAGGGCTAAGGCACACTCAAAGATACATCAGAAATAAGCTTACAGAAAGAGGCAGCACAGACTTGGAAAGCTGGAAAGGACTGGATGAAATCATTAACTAGAACACAATTGGCTCACGCCTGTAATCCCAGAACTTTGGGAGGCCAAAGCAGGCGGATCACTTGAGGTCAGGAGTTCAAGACTAGCCTGGCCAACATGGCGAAATCCCATCACTACTAAAAACTACACAAATTAGCCAGGCATGGTAATCCATGCCTACAATCCTAGCTACTCTGGAGGCTGAAGCAGAATTGCTTGAACCTGGGAGGCAGAGGTTGCAGCGAGTGGAGATAGGGCCCCTGCACTCCAGCCTGGGCAACAGAGTGAGACTCTGTCTCAAAAAGAAGGAAAAAGAAATCATTAACTACAGAAAATCATCTGTCCACATGGTTACTTATGAAGATGCACAGGGAAAATGTTATGATTATGAAGATCTACAGATTTGAGGGAATTTAAGAACCAGAAAACAACTCTCGCTTTGTTTTGAATGTACCTAGGAGTATAAAGAAATGTGCCCAACTGTGATTTTTTTTCCTCCATACATGTTTTACACATTTCCCAAATTATTTCTTATTAACATCATAGTTCAAAAACTACTAGTGAACTTTTCAAGTCATCATTCTAGAGATTCCCAAGGGCTCTTATTCTCGTTAGAAAATAAGCAATTAATATGATATCTAGAGGATTACAATTTCAAAAGTTATCCATGTCTAAATCGACTAATTTAGGATGAGGGAAAAAGAGCAAAATATGATGTTAAAAGTGTTGTAATAATTATAATTGAACATAAGCACCCTTGAAGAGGCAGAGGCCATTTTTTTTTTTTTTTTTTTTTTTTTTTGGAGACAGGGTCTTGCTGCAGCCTTGGCCTCCTGGCCTCAAGCAATCCTCCTGCCTCAGCCTCCTGAGTAGCTGGGATCATAGGCTCACGTCACCACTCCCAGCTAAGTTTAGTACTTTTTGTACAAACCGGGTTTCACCTTGTCAACAAGACTGTACTCAAACTCCTGAGCTCAAGCAATCTACTGGCCTCAGCCTCCCAAAGTGCTGGGATTACAGGTATGAGCCACCATGTTCAGCCAGAGACAAATTTATTTATTTTTATTCTTTATTATTTATGTATTTATTTATTTATTTATTGAGAGTTAGTTTTGCTCTTGTTGCCCAGGCTGGAGTGCAATGGTGTGATCTCGGCTCACTGCAACCTCTGCCTCCTGGGTTCAAGCAATTCTCCTGCCTCAGCCTGCCAAGTAGCTGGGACTACAGGCACCCACCACCATGCCTGGCTATTTTTTTGTATTTTTAATAGAGTTGGGGTTTCACTATGTTGGCCAGGGTAGTCTCGAACTCCTGACCTCAGGTAATTCACCCTCCTCAGCCTCCCAAAGTGCTAGGATTACAGGTATGACCCACGACACCCAGCCCAGAGACAGATTTGTTAATATGCCAAGTCAAAAATCTTAGTTATTACAAGACTCAAAAGAGTTTGTTGACTGGAGAGGTTAAAAAAATTTTCAAACAAATAAGAACATAACTGATAGAGAATAAATAACCTAACACGTACATGAAGGTCAGGGAATAACGCGTGACATCTGACTACGTCAGAACCCCTGCAAAACAACCCACAGAGCCAAACAAGAACATGCCATTTGCACTTAGAGAGCAGCCTATAAATAGAGGCCAATCTTTCCAGCTTCCAGTGACAAGTGACTAAATAATAACACTCAGTCTAAATCTGATTGCATCCTGTTATCTTTTGCAGATTTAATGCAGGAGTTCTCAAAGTCTGGACTAATACCACTCAGCTTTTCTCAACTGAGGTTTGAGAAACTATGTTTGTTTCAATAGTTTTTTATTTAAAGCTTTAGCACCTATTATCATTTGTAAGTAATCCACTCAAGATATGATTAAAATAAAATTATGTGAACAATCAATCATGGTTAATCTCAGATTCACCTGTTTTCCTTGTGGGCAGGTGAGTTTATATTTTATACAAATGGTAGTTACCTTAGACTAGAACTATTATTCCATGCTCGTGTGATGAAAATGCTGGTATTCTGTGCCTGTTGTGGGCTGAACTATGTCCCTCCAAAATTCATATATTGAAGCTCTAACCCTAGTACCTCAGAATGTGACTATATTTGCAGACAGAGTCTTTAAAGGGTAACTAAGTTAAAATAAAGCCCTTATGGTGGGCCCTAATCCTGTGTGACTGATGTCCTTGTAAGATGAGAAAACTTGGACACACAAATAGACACACAGGATGTGAGCGCAGAAAGGGCCATGTGAGGACACTATACCTTCTTGCTAGAAGGTAGCCCCATGCAAGCCTAGGAGAGAAGTCTCAGAATGACACTAAACCTGCCGACACCTAGATCTTGAACCTGTACCTTCCAGAACTGAGAAAATAAATTTCTGTAGTTTAGGCCACCAGTCTGTGGTACTTTGTTATGGCAACTCTAGCAAACTAATACAGTGACATTCCTCAAATAGCATGATGTGCTCAAAAGCACTCCATGTCTTGGCACCAGACAAGTTTCAGAATGCATTTCTCCTAAAATGATAGCTCTAAAGACCTAACCTACATAGCACAATCACTGTGTTAAGATAAGCAAATTTTAGGCCAGGCATAGTGGCTCATGCCTGTAATCACAATACTTTGTGAGGCCAAGGCAGGAAGATTGCTTGAGCCCAGGAGTTCGAGACCAACCTGGGCATCAGCGTGAAACCTTGTCTCTACAAAATAAATGTTTAAAATTAGCTGGGCCTGGTGGTACACATCTGTGGTCCCAGCGACTCAGGAGGCTAAAGCGGGAGGACTGCTTGAGCCCAGGAGGTCAAGGCTCCAGTGACCTGTGATCATGCCACTGCACTCCAAGATGGGTGACAGGGAGACCCTGCCTCAAAAAAAAAAAAGATACACAAGTGTTAAGGTGGAAGAAGCAGACATTTAATGCCTAAGGGAATTTGCACTAGAAAACCCTTTTCTTCCATAGGTTAACTCTTCGGTGAACGTAAAAACATGCTTGTGCCTTGCAACTAGATAGATATACATTTGAATTGCAGTTCTGCCAGTTCCTGACTTTAGTAATCATCTCAGACAAGAGACTTTAACGTCTTGGGGCATCCATTTCACCATCTCTAAAACAGGGACAAGGCCAGGCGTGGTGGCTCATGCCAGTAATCTCAGCATTTTGGGAGGTTGAGGCAGGCAGATCACTTGAGGACAAGAGTTGGAGACCAGCCTGGCCAACATAGTGAAACCCTGTCTGTAAGAAAATACAAAATTTATCCAGGCATGGTGGCTTGTGCCTGTAATCCCAGCTACTTAGGAGGCTGAGGCAGGAGTATTGCTTGAATCTGGGAGGGGGAGGTTGCAGTGAGCCGATTGTGCCGCTGCATTCAGGCTGGGTGACAGAGCAAGGCTCTGTCTCACAAAAAAAGAAATAAAATAAAAGTAAAAATAAAACAAGGACAATATCAAGGGTGGCTGAAGGAGGCAATGTAGCTGCTGCCTCCAACACAACAGGCCACAAAGTCACCTCCTCCTCCCTATAGTCTACATTTTAGGCCCCTGAAATGGTCAGTTTTTTCCAGACTGTCAATGCCTCTCCCTATAAATTGCTATTTTTCTTTCACCATGACAGCTTCTCTAGTCAATCAGACCAACCCAAATACAAAGACAGAATATCTCTTCTTGAGGTTCTGAATCTCTTACATGGGTATCTCGGAACACATCTGCATCAAGACATCACAAAAGAGACAGCTCTGTCAGCAAAAGGGTCCTAAAGTACAAAAGTGGCTTCTAACAACCCTCACTCTCTGCCCTACGAGGAAAGCTGAAAGACACTTATCAATCAAGTTCTCTTTCCACCTAATTTCCAAATCCTCTTAGAGG